ATATATATATATTATTACTTAACATACATTACATTTTATGGCTTTTATAATAATTATTTTATAAGTTATTCTAATTATATTTTTTACTTAAATATGTTTTTAGTCTCTTAAATTTAAGATAAATTTATTTTTAATCTCTTAAATTTAAAACTATTCTTTTTATCTTATAATTTTAAAAAAAATATTATTTTAGTTCTTAAAATCACTAATAACATATATGAAAGAAATAAATTAAAATAATTATACAACGTCAATAAGATTTGATGTTATGTTTTTGCCAACAAAGAAGTGATAATATTTTGTGTAATAATATTAGCAGATTTCATTAAAAAATTGAATATAAAAATTAAGACAAATTTTTTTAAAATTATAATATTACAAAAAGCTGTTTTAAAATTGTGAGATTAAAAATAAGTTTAACTTAAATTTGAGGGGCAAAAATATATTTAAATTTTTTAAAACAATGGTGCATGAAAAATAATTATAAAAGTTTCTTTCGAAATTAAACCCATTTTTTTTATCACAAAAATATCACATTTAAAACTCAAAAAACTTGTTATATATCTTTAATTTTAATTAAGTTGTGAGAAAACTGGAAAAAAAAATAAATTAAAATGTGAGAAAGGAATAGAGAAGAAGAATGTCTCTCTTTCTCTGAACTGCGTAGGTGTGAATGGCTGCTAGCTAGCATGGTGGAAAGCTGTCCACTCTCTGTCTTTCTCCAAATATAGCAACTCACAACGCCAATCTCTTCAGTTTTCAAGTTTCCATGCTCCCTAAATTCTCTTCAACAACCTTGAGTTGATTTCAGTGTTCCTCTGTTTGCAAAGTCACACACACTCCCCTAACTGCTACTGTTCCTTGTCTCACTCCCTCTTTCTCTTTCAGTAAAATTATCCCAATTCTCTATTTTTCCTCTGCTCCAACCTCATCTCCATCATCATATTCACCTATTTCTTTCTTCTTTCTCACACCTCCTTTCTTCTTCTTGTTTCTTTCCACTTTTTCTTTTCCCCTTTAATCTGTTTGGTTTCTCTGCAATCGAAGACCTTCCCGGACTTAGGTTAAGAGAGAGTAAATAAATTTATCTTCTTTTCGTGTCTTTCTTTGTTGGGTAAGTAAAACAATGTTTTTTTGGGTAACTTAGGCCACCCAATCTGAAATTCAAGTTTTGCTTTGGCTATAGCAAATTAGCAGTACTGTTGGGATACTATTTGAGTGTCAATTGTTGGTTGGTTGGTCTAATTGTCTTGCACCCTGGTTCTGTTACATGTGATGGAACCTTGGAGCTATGTTCCTGAAGAAAAGGAGTGTGTCTCCAATGAGGGACTCTCGTCTCCCAACACTCTCGGGAGGAACAAAAATTCTTTCTTGGGCTGGGAACTCAAAACCCCATGTGGTTTTCCCAACGACATGTTGGGTTTGGGTCAGCACAGCATTGAGAATCAAGGTTTTGAGGAATTGGGTCTTCCCGAAATGTTGGGGAAACAGCTGTCCGATGATCTAATTGGGAGTGTTCAAAGTAGAAAGGTGGATGGTAGACAACAACACAGTGACAGAATCACTAGTACTGTTGTGGATACCCCAAGTGGGTTTTCTCAAAGAGGGTACTCAAATTCTAAGCTTTCATACTCAAATTCCCTCATTGATTTGAAACTGGGTCGATTTGCTGACCATGGAGATGCCCCTGATCTGGGGTTTTCCAAAGTTTTGTCTTCTGAGTCATCAACGCCTCCTAAGAGAGTGAGAGCTTCTGGGCTACAATCTCAGACGGCTTATTGCCAAGTCTATGGCTGTAACAAGGATCTCAGCTCTTGTAAGGATTACCACAAGAGACACAAGGTGTGTGAAGTCCACTCCAAGACTGCCACTGTTATAGTCAATGGCATTGAGCAGAGGTTTTGCCAGCAATGTAGTAGGTTGGTCAATTTTTCAACCTTTCATCTTCCAATTCCAAGTTGATGTGAGCTAAATGTGTATTGGTACACTAGATTGATTATTTTAGCCTCACAATGGTTTTCGGTTACCTTTTTCTGGTGTGCATTCAAGTACTAAAACATGACTCTTCACCTACTCAATTGTATGTCATGAGTTTTAAAAGTTTTTTATCTGCTTTTGTTTACATCGCTTTCCTTTCCACTTTTTATATGATTAAGGTTACTAGTTTTGCTACTTCATAATGGACAGGTTTGAAATGAGAAGCTTTGTTGTTAAGATATATAGCTTCATTGTAATTTTTAGTTTATGAACCAGGTTTCATTTGCTGGCTGAATTTGATGATGGTAAACGAAGTTGCCGTAAGCGCCTTGCAGGGCATAATGAGCGAAGAAGAAAACCACAAATGGGTATTCACTCCGGAAAATCTGGAAGGTTGCTTCAGCCATGCGGGGGTAATAATATGTATTCTGAAATTCGTTCAAGATATAACTCTCCTTTCTTGCACTAAACTTCCCTTTTCTCTTAAATTTCCATCCTTGATCCTATCTTTGGTCACATGCACATGCACATTTATCCCTTGCATTCTTCATTAGTTAAATTTCATTTGTTTGATTGCTTAATTATAACTTAGTTGGCACTAAAAAATATACAAACATGCTTTTGAAAATCTAGTTCCTTTTCTTTGCCCGTTTCTACCTTGTAACATGCCCATACAGCCTAGTCAAACTTTTTATTGGCCTTCCTATTTAACTTCTCAAATTTGATAATTGTCCACGGTATGGTACATTTCTCATACAGTTTTCTATCAACTTTCATCATGATACCAATATCATTACTAACTTATCATGTTCACAGAATCACACTTCATAATATGTAATGTGGTCCAACTTAAATTATATATATATATTCTAGAGGTAATGTGTTAAATGGTGTCCTGCTTTGTCACCCACCCAATAGAACAAGTGTGGATTTTCAAATGTCAATTTACCTAATGAATATACATCTATAGTACATGAACTTCCATCTCATTGCCTCTTTGTTTCAAAATGTTTATTCCTTCATTCTTTCAGTTGCTGGTTTTGTGCTGTTGTTTACCGGTTTAACCTTTGCAAACTTTTTGATTTTTAAATACAACGTGTAAACTAGTTTTAATTTGGATTCTTTTGTCATGTGGTGGATGTGAACCGTAAGTGACTTATTCAATAATAAGAATATTAGTGTTGTGCCAAAGTGAAAATGATTTTCAACACCATACATGTATGAGTGTAAGATTTCCAGATAAGAATTAAACAGTCTTTTTTCAATGAATCATAAAAATATGTCTGTTTATTAACAACATGAAGTCTAATAGACAGAAATAATTTTAATTCCCAAATTTTTATTCCATATTACTAATCTTAATAATCTACCATATAGATTGGCTGCCACTTATTTTGTGTCTAATTAAAAAGGGGGTAAGAGTGATGAGGCAGTCACAGAGTTCCCATACGTTAAATGTTTTTATTTTTATTTTTTAACTGTATAGTGGAATGGAATAAACTTCTATCATTTTCATGTTCTAAAACATCAAAAATATGTTGCAAGGTCTCTAATTTTATATTCATAAACTCTTGAATTGGTCATTAAACTAAATGTATGGGATGTGCTGAAATTCTAAAGCTCCATTTGTTCCTTAATTAAATTTTGAACTGTTTCATTTACTCATAGTAGTTGTTAATTTAGATGTGATCATGATTCTTATGAGAACTTATTAATTTTGTAGTTATATGATATTAGCAAAATTGTTAGAATTGAGTTTTTATAAAGATCACGTGGTTGCAGATAGCAGATTTCAGGGAAACATGCTAACATCATCTTTTATTCGCCCAGAGATGCTTCCTAGTGGCATCATGCATTCGGATAAATATGGTGTGAATGGCTTCTGGAGACCTATCAAAGCAGAACATGGGGCTGGTTTTAGGCATCTTTCTTCTATGCCTATAACCAACGGACATCCTCAGTCAAAATCTTTATTTCCATCATATAACGAAAAACAATTTCCTTTTCTTCATGAAAATGGTGCTACATCCACCGCTGGAGGCATCTTCTGTGAGAGCAATAACCACTATCCACATGCTCTTGGAGCCCAAAATTCTGGGTTGAGACCACTATTCCAGGACACAGTAGGAAATGAGGACTTCAATGTTTTTGATACAACATCAACTGTTCAAGGATTGTCGGGGATTTCAGACTCTTGTGCTCTCTCTCTTCTGTCATCTCAATCCCAAAACTCTTCAAGTCAATCATCAGGAATTCCCTTGGCTCATTCCTTGGTTATTCCAAGCAGTCATAACCATCACTACAACATTAGTCAGGTCTCTGGAAAGATAGGAATAAGCTCACAGACTTCTTCAAGCCGAGTGTCCAATAGTTTTCCATCAGAACTGAATCATGCAGATGGAAGTCATCTCAGTCCTGTACTAATATCAGACAATAATGATATTGTAAACTTTGATATTGCAGATGGTATCTTCCAAGGTTCAGATTTCGTGAATGTGAAAGATCGTCTTTCCTGTGAAGATGGTGCAACCATTAACTTGTTACAATTGTCATCACAGCTTCAGCGAGTTGAGCATGACAGACAATCCCTGCAGGTGAAGCAAGAGAATGATTCTTGTTGCACTCTGCGGATTACATGAAGTGCTTTGAAAGACTATTGGCACTTTGCTGCAGGTAAGCTTGTGGTTAGCACTGCACACTTTGCACTAGCTTGAAATCAAGCTTCCTCAATTCTTCTGCTTTAGAAGAAAATAGAAAAATACAATTTGTAGCTGTTGTTTAAGGATCTACATTATCAATGATTAATCAAACTATTTGAACTATCACCATTAGTGGAAAAAATATTTTCCTATTTTTTTATATAAATTGTAGATCTGTTATGTATGTTCGGATTTAATTTTGACATCAGTGTAAAATGTTGTACAAATGATGTGTTCCTAGGGCTCCTTGTTGCTACTTTACTGAGTTTGACAATAACAAATGATGTATTGCTAGCATTCCTTGCTGTCACCATGTTGAAGTACATTTTACATCGTCGGAATTCTCTCATAACTTATATCGATTTACAGGATAAAAATTTCATTTTCCCTTTGATGCAGGAAACAAGTTGTGCAGCATGTAATTGACACGCTTATACCAGTCGTCTTTGACAATGTAAGCCACAGGGAAATAGAAACTTGAAATGTTGTCATTTTCATCTGTTCAAGAACTTGTCTGCAGAATAACTGATCGACTAAACAAGTCAGGCTATATCTATGATATTAGTTGGGACACAATTGTCCATCTGTATTTTATATGTCCATGTGGATGTAATAAACAAAAGCCTTGTATGTATCAAAATTTGCTCTACGGGGGGCATTAACACTTAAATCAGGACAATTGTTTACTCGAACTGACACTGAATTTCGTGCAATATTTGGCAATGACGTTTTGTTGTACTCAAATATTAGCAATGCTTGGAGTACTTTAAAATTACCGACAATATTTAGTTGTAATATTTTAAGTGTTTTTGGTACTATAATTTAATGTTTAAAAAAGTAGTTTGGTTTAAATAACTAGCACCGAGTACCAAGTACAGTTGTATGAGTCAAACCGAGGAAACTACTAGCCAGCCTTTTCTTGTTGGAAAGAGGAAGTTAAAAGATTTTTTTTATTTTCTTTTTTCTATTGTACAATATACTGAAAAAGGTTAATATATATCCATTTGATGAGACAAACAAATTCATCATTATCACATTGATGAGACAAACTTTGATAAGAGGAATATGTCCGGCCAACTCAATGCTCATTATCAACATTTCATGCACGTGTCATAACTCAAAAGTCGAGCTGCCACTCAGTATTTCATGGCATTAACCATTTTCATGCAAATACGTAAACCTTCAAAATTCAAATTGTCCATAATCACGTATAACAAACATAAGGATGACTACTTCCAAGTACTAAAACAATAAAAGTTATGATACAAAGATCAAGTCAAAAATCATAATGAGACCACTAATACATTATTATCATCTCATCTGAAAGGGAAATGATTCCCACCATTTTTTTTTTCTGAGGCATATTTGTTAAAAGTAGTGATTATTAATATTGATTAACATTCTTCGTATTTTGGGTGGATTGAAGTAGATAAAAGAAAGATTAAAAAAAATAGTAGATATATAAAGCGACAAATATGCTAAGTGATGTAATAAAAATAGGGAGAGATAGAGAGAAAATAATGAGGTAGAAGTGAGATAAAAGAGTAAATAGATATGTATAGTTTAATATTTTCATTTCTTAAACTTAATATTTGCTTAGTAAAAGAAAAAAGAAATGAGAATGAGTAGTAAGAAATGTGTTCCCTCATCTTATTATTAAAAAATTAGTTTTAAAAAGAAAATAATAAAGTGATTTATAATGCTTGTAACTAATTAATTTTAGTTTGCTAAAGGGATTTGGGTTCTTGTTTAAAAACAAAGGGTAGTCACCTAAGGAATTAGGGTAAACTAATTTAAGGAAATTGAAGGTAATTTTATTAACAAGAAGGAATTTAAAAGAAAAAGGATTACCTTAAAGGGTAAATTGAGGAGATTTCAATGCTTAATTGTTTTAGTTCATTAAGCTTTCAACAAATATTTCACTTGCTTCCTTTATCCTTTTATTTAAATTAGAAATCTAAAAATTCTTATTTTTCTTAATTCATTTTTTTGAAAGGTTATTTTTCTTAGTTTTTAAATTAAAAGAATATATGATTGATTAATCAACTCTTATATATTAAATATGAATTACTATTTTATGCGAGAACGTTTTTGAAATCTATTTTTCAATGATAGCATTTTTAGAAATTCATATAACTTCTTATTTAATTAAAAAATTACTTCATATTTATTTGAGAATTAAATTTTAAATTTTAAAATAAATAATCAATAATTAAAAATAATTTTATGTCACAATATCAATTATTTATCTTAAATTTAAAATATTTTATATATTTAAAAATATTTTTTAAATAAAATTTAAATATAATTTATATATTTAAATATAATATATTTTTTATATATAATTTATTATAAATTTTAATTATATATAATAACCATTTAACTTATGAAATGCACGTACTAAAATATTAGGTACTATTAAATCACAATCCTCGTGGATATGATATTTTTCTCATTACTTTTTATTGCTTGTACAACCAATACACTTGTTGCGATTTTCATTCTATGGTTCTGAAGAGATGGGTTGGACCAATGGGGAGAAGCCCTAATGAATACTTTTTGTATGGAAAATGGATTAACCTAAAGTCATTGAAGGATGATGTCATCAACATGGATGACTACTTTTCTTACACTCGATGGACCAAATACACGAGTTGCCAAAATGACTGATTCCATGCACCCTCCACTGCTTTTGGGGTGAATAATGAGGAGAAGGATGGAACCTTAGTAGGGATGGTTGAAGGGAAGCCAATCATCATGTCTAGTGATTGTGGGAGTCATAGACTAAAGGGAGGAAGGGCAGAAGTTCATTGAAGGATGGGAGAACACCATTACTCTTGGAACAATTGATTTGGCACTCTACGACCAAAGGGGAAAGCTTGGTCTAACCCCAAAGAATACAAGTTAATGTACAACTCCAACATGAAATTGGTGCATAGAGTTCTTCACAACATCTTCCACATCTTTATTCCATATAGGGGATTGAAGGACCATATGTTTTCAAAAGACAGATTTTAACTATACATGATGCTGGTAGGATATATAAAAGACTAGTATACCTGACTTGATTCTTGCTCATTGGGTGTTTGCCCAAAGTTTTGAGACATCCCAAAGGGACAACATGAACCAATAATCCTTTATGATATGCTGTTTTCGTAAATCTTAAGGGATCTTGAGTTTAATGTTGCAGACTTCTGCCTAAGCTAGCTAGAACAAAAATCAATCTATCAATCTTGAAGAAGATGGGGGTTACTAAATTCTTTCTTGGTAACGTTGCCAAAAGTCCAGAAGACTTTAAGGAGGAACATGTAGATGCATGATGTGGTTGTTATTGTTTTCAAGTTGGACTGTTTGTTATTTCTTCTATTAACCCTTCTGCCCTAGCATCATATATTGCACCACCTTTTAGACCTCAACCGAACCCTCTACAAAAGAGCTAACAAGGGATTTGGTGCCGAAAACATCAGAAGGGATGATATTAAATTGAAGCCCACAATATTATGAACAATGATGGAAACTCGACTCACTTACGTAACAATTCTAAAGTTCATTGATAAAAATACACTATTAGAGTGATTGTAAGTCTTGGAAATCCTATTTTATTCACCCCAAGATTTGTAATGTACTTTGTTATCATGAGTTTAAAAGGAGTTTGAGTTTAAAAACGAGTTTGTAAAGCATGCACTATACAATTACAATAAATAGGGTTGATCTAATGGTGAAAAATATTTAAGGATTAAGTTCGATTCTTGTTGAACGGCCATCCGTCTGGTGTTGGAATAGCCGGAATGAGCATATGTAATTGATGAAATAAAATATATATATAAATAAATACAAACTCTATAAAGGAGTAGTGGGTGCTAACTAAAGTTTATGCTTGAATTCATCACAAAGCTAAGAGATCAATTGTCTATTCTAGAAGGGGGAAAAAAAAGAAAAAAAAGTGATGATTCAAGCAACTTTAGATAATTTTACAATGCAAAAGCTACAAAAAATGCACGCATAAGTACGTGGCAGTAAAAATCTACCCCCCTATGTTAAATAACTGGATAGAATTCTTATGGCAAGCATGTATGCACCAGTGTTCTTTGCATATTATGAATCATGTGGATGCTTTCAGCTTTAACAATCTGGTGCAGATGACTTGACTCCAAAAGCGTAGATAACCCGTTTATGTTTCCACTTTCCACATATATTATTCTTCAATGGTTAAGTCAATAAGATTACCACACAAGCTAAAGTACCCAGCACTATACTTAGTAAAGAGATAACTATTTTTGAACTTGCATTTGGCAGCCACGGGTAGGCATCTGGAGGAGGCATTACACAGTTATCTCCATTGAAATAAATTCTTCGTGGGAAAGCCCATCCCTTATCAAATGTAAAGGTTGATTTGTCCTTTCGGAATAAGAGCTCAGACTGCACATTCCCAACGGGTCCTGCTGAACTAGGTAAATCATTATAGAACTTGACTCCCCACAGCATACCAGTATCATCTGCAAAACCAGATCCCAAAACAATATATAAGAATTGGAATATTTTGTCCTGCTGAACTAAGTAAATCATTATAGAACTTGACTCCCCACAGCATACCAGTATCATCTGCAAAACCAGATCCCAAAACAATATATAAGAATTGGAATATTTTGTTCACAAGTTTGGGTCTGTTTGGACAAACTTCTCTAAAAGTACTTATAAGAGAAGAAAATAGGAAGGGAATATGAAATAAGTTTTTTCATAAACTAAAATAAGTTTTTGAAAAAACCAATATGAGAGTTTCTACAAATTAACATGTACATAAGTTAGTTTTAGTTTATGAAAAAACTAATTTCATTTTTCCTTTCTATTTGCTTTTCTTTTAAGTGCTTTTGGGAAAATTTATCCAACCAGACCATCTAGGACTAAATCATATGATATGCAAGATAGAACTTACTTAAGCCCACATAAGGAGTTAGTGGCTTGTAATTAAAGCTGAAAACCTGGGTTACATTATCAAAGTTTGGGTGCTGCACAACAAGGTTCCATTGTGAATAGTTCATTCTGTAGTTGAAATTTGTGATTGTGATCTTGATCCTCCAGTACTCCTTATATTGAAGCTTCACATGCCAATGAACTCGAATAGGACACATGTGGCTGGTGCACCGGACCAAAGGTGTGTTTATAGCTTTGCCTGGTGGTGACACAACTGAAGCCAAGTGTGGGGAATTGGGACTGTAAGAAAAATTAAAAAAAAAAATATATCAGAGGACAGTTTCATAGATATACAAAATGATATCAAGGGGTCTAGTTCAGTTGGTTGAGTAAGATATGTGAGTTGTTGTAAATTCTATTGGAATAAATTTCAATCCCCACAAATAGAAACAAGTATATAGAATGAAAAATTAAGGACTTACTCTACACAGCTGCCAGGATCTGTTTTATTTTGGCAACCACAGGTGCAGGTAGGGCAGTTTACTATTGTGCTGTTATAGAAGGATGAGAGGGAAACGCAGCAAGTTGGTGTCTTCTGAGCCAGGAATTGAGAATACGTACAGGTAACATTCCAGGTCACTGCCAAAAAATATGCAGATTGAGCTAAACCGAATTGAGAAACGAAAACTTGGTTTTCATACTAAAAGTTTTTCTCAACAATGTATAAAGCATACACAATTATTTCTAGTTACTTCACAACTTATTATTTGTTTGATGAAAGCTAACAACTCTGTCTCATCAATAAAGGTAAATACTGCTATCAAGGAAAATTGGAAAGAAATTGATAGAACAGCAACCATTACTCCTATAACTACAAAAATAACCAGATAAAAAAGTCACTTCAATTTTGTAAGAGGTACATTCATGCAGAAACAGCTAACAAGTACATATCTTATATCTAGAACAGGTTTTTTCAGCAAAGTTTAGAAAGAAACAGGTAAATATATGTAAGATTCCCAGTCAATGCATTTTGCAAGTAACTTACTCAATGCCTGAGTGGTTCTCCTCTTGTCTTTGGTAATAAATTTAGTTGGCTTCACAATCTTTGCAGGGCCACAGGTATAACCAGGACCTGGTGCTTTCAGGGTGAAATTTTTTGGCAGTTTGACTGTTTTGTTAGTTGTTCCTGCTGAACCAACACTAAGTTGAAATGAACTAATTGCATTTTCAGGGTCCTGGGCCCATGAACTCAAGACTCCCCCTGTGCAACAATTCGCAATCTGCTGGTTGTAAGGAGTTCCAGGCAGTAAATCCACTACGGTTGGATCCTTCTTACAACAGTGTGGAATGTTCCCTTTGAACCTTGAACAGTCCCCTTGCTCTGTGGTTTGGCCTCCCATTACATTCCAAATTACTTCCTTTTTGGCCCATGTCCACCCTAGTATCCATCCAGGAGACTGGATATGACGATACTGTTGAAAGTTGTACATTGTTACAACAGCCTGTATAATCAAGAAGGACTTAATATGTCAAACAACAGACTAATATAAAGGCTTGTTTGGATAAACTTTCCAATAAACACTTCTAGGAGAGAAAAATGAAAAAGAAAATTGAAATAATTTTTTTTATAAGTTAAAACTAACTTATGCATAAGTTAAAGATAAAATTTTGAAGAAGCTAACACGAAAGAACTTCTAAAAATTAGCTCTTATATCTTACTCTAAAATGCTTTTCAGGTGAAATATTAAAACTTCCAATATAGCGTCTTCCTAGTACTTTAGCTCATTAAGAAAGTAGTGATCTCTTACAACATAGCCGTCTGGAGTCCAATTTATGATATCCCATTTGATTGTAATATTGCCAGTTGGATCAAGTGCATCATAGGCTTCTGTATATGAACAACCATGAAAAATTGAAAACTTTAAATTCTCAGTTAAGTATACTTAAAGCAAACAATTTTACATATCAAAGCTCATTATATATCGCTGGATTGTTTCTCAAGTGGAGATTAGAGAAGCCCCCAAAAATGTAATTTGTATCCATGCCTATGGTAACATCACACTTTCTTCAAGCTAGAAAAGAAATAGATAGGTACTTTTGCCTTTTCATTTTTCCCCTCTTCATTCAAAACATATTTATTATGTCACATCCACATCCACATATAACATTAATTTTTAAAAAGAGCGTGAATGGGTTTGTCTATAGTTCTACAAAGAGAGCTAGTAGACAACAATACCCGACATGGTAAGCATTTAACCAATAAAAAACAAATTGCATGGCAAATATCAGCTTCAGCAATCTATAAGAACCTAAAAAAACACTGAAAACGGTCGAGAAAATCCCGAAGTCCCAAAAAATAAAAACTAGTTAAACTATTTGCTTATTTTGCACCTTTTTGTTTTAGTAAAAATGGGAATGCCCTTGAATGTGTATGAAAACTCTAATAGAGTATATTAACAGTAAAGTCTGAAAATATTTTCAAGAAGTAAAGTTGATATCCAAGGACAAGTGAGAATGAAAGGAAGCAGTACCCGTAGAAGTGAATGTAGTGCACAAGAGCAGTGACAACAATAAAATCACCATGAAGCCACCCCGAGGAACAACAGATCCAGAGGTTGATAACCACAGAGAATCCATTTCTTCCTTCACAGATTTGCTTTCACAATGTAAATGTAGCTAGCACTTAAGATAGGCACCACCACTTGACAAGGTTAAGGGTTTGAACTGAAACTATCTCTTATTATGAAACACACTTTACTTGCCAAATATCAATGATACCCTTGTCTGGTGAGTGACATTATCAGATTTTCTATGTTTCCAAAATAAAATTACCAAACAGTTCAGCTTTTTGAGTGCTGTTATTATTATTATTTGCAAGGCTAATGTTATAGTTATACAAGTACTTTATTTTTTGTCATGTATATTCTAAAACTAATAATTAAAAATTAGTATGTATTGACGGACATGACATAACTTCTGCGGTATAAAAATACTTCTACACATGTTTGATTTGGAAAATATGATTTTTTTAATTTTAATAAAAATATTAATATGTCTTTAGTCTCTCAATAAAACAAAAAAAAAGTACTTAATTTTCAGAATATTTTGTTTTTATTTCATTTTCATACGAATGTTGCAGAATGCAGAGGAATGTAAGGGATGTAATGTGCAGATAAGATGATTTATTTAATTCTAATGGAAAGTCATGTTGCAAAGGGAAATAGATCCCCCGACTTTGGAGGGGAAAAGTTAGGGTAATTTTACACATTTAAATCATTGGATTTGTAATAGTAGATCAGATCGTGACACGTGTACATTTAAGTTAAAATATATTTTGTACACGTGTCACAATCTGATCTATTATTACAAATCCAACGATTGAGATGTGTTAAGTTACCATAACTTTGATATCTCAAAGTCAGAGGATCCGGATCCGTTGCAAAGTGCAAACTCCTTTGTCCTAGTGATTTTTTTTAAATTGGTTAGGGACAATATCGGAAGAATGAAACATAAAGAAATGGCATGAACACGTGATGTGAAAGGAAGACAATGAACAGCGTGTGCCTCGACAACACTAAGGTTCTCTCTATCTTGGTCGGTCTAAGGGATGTTTGCCGCGTCTAACCAAGTTTTGTCTAAAAGCCTCAAACCAAATTAATTATTTACGCAACTAGTAACTATTTATTATATTTGTATTGAATATATATATATATTTTTTATTTTCTTATAAACAAGTTGTGGAAAATAAAATATTTTATAGTGAGCATAAATTTAATATTTAAATTATTGTTCAATCAAATGGAAATAATTTAAAAGAATATAAATAAAGAAATTCAATTCCAGTCGACAAATTACAAATTTTAAGTGCACATGACACGAGACTCAACATGACAATGATTTGGTTGCATTTTTCTTTAACCAGATTCAACTTGAGTCTATTTTATTTTAATTTTGTTTCAGGTTGGATCGAACTTACGTGTTTAATTGGAACTATAATTGCAGTAATTAGCACAAAAAAAAGGCATTTCCCTTCTGGTTGCTACTTGCTACACTTGATTAGGCATGCCTTTAATTATTGTTCTACCCAGGCTTGCTTTTCTTTTTAAACACCACTACTTAAAGCCAAACAATTTTTTTATAGAAAATCAAAAATGGATTTTCAGTTGATATAATGGGGAGTGGGGCTTTAAACTTGAGGCTAAGCTTATAATTAATTTTAGAAACTTAGGACATAGTGTACGATATATAAGTAATTTGCATGAGATTTTAAATATGAATTTTCCGGTTGTTATTGCAAATAAATAAAGATTATAAATTAGAAGAGCCCACGTTGTGGCATCTTAATTTAGGAGGAACTTTGCTGAAGAGTTAAGTCAGACTTGATTAAATATTATGGACTTTAATTCAGTGGCACGCAAAAATAATGATACACCTCCACCAAGAAAAAAGTATGTTGATGGTTCATCAATCACAACGAGCCGTTATTGGAAAGAAAATTATGGGTGAATTAAAAAAAATATTCAAACCCCTTAATTTCATCTTTTTTACAATTAAATATGATAAATTTTAATTTTGTTTTTATCCATCCTTAGATTTTTCCTTCGTATACTACTAGACACAATAAACTTTGATTTTCTTATAATTAATTTTATTTTTTTAAAGTAAACACCTTAAACTTTCATTTCCATTCAATTGAATACTTAAAATTTATTTTTTTAGTCTTTTACAAATAGTTCATTCTATCAATATAAAATTAAAAATATTAACAAAAAATACTCAATCATTTATAATTTATTTATCCTGAATGTTAGTCATTCATTAGTTTATTATAAAAAAATTATAACTCATTTTTGTATATATCAAAACATAATAAAAATATAAAATTAGATGAAATAAAAAAGCAAAAATATTATATAAAAAAATCAATTGATTTTTTATTTTATTTTTCTTAAAGCTTGGAAAAGTAATTTATAAAACAAAACTAATAAATGATTAATATTAAATATATAAAACGGTTAAAAAATCTTCTGTTAAAAGTTTAATCCCAAATTAATACAAAAGACTATTCATAACAAAAGTAAATTTTAAAGGCTAATTGAGATGAAATTGAAAGTTCAGTGTCAATATCAAAAAAAGAGGTAAAGGTTAATGATTAATTGAGATGAAATTATAGTTTAACATATTTAATTGTAAAGGAAATACATTTTAAAGATAATTAAAACATAAATAATTAAAGTTTATATGATCTATTTAAAACATAGATATAACGTAATAAATCACTACGATTAAGTAAGAATATATATATATAAGTTAAAATCTTATTTGGTTCTTTATAATATTTTTTTTGTTTCAATTTAGTCTCACTTTAATTTTTTGTTTCAATTTGGTCCCAATAATTTAAATTATTGCAATTTTGGACTTCCGTCCAAATGATTTAAACGAAGTTAACTGTTGGCCACGTGGATACCACGTGGATGCCACGTAGATGCATAAGTGGATGTCAAATTTCATGAATACACCTAGAACCGGAATGACCTGTTCTGCTTGTACATGTTATGTGTTAATTTTGCAACTAGAACGGGCCATTCCAAATGCAAATTTAACACACCATGAGTGCAGCAGAACGGGACGTTCTGAAACCAGAACGTGTCGTTCTGGTTTTAGAACGAGCCGTCTGAATTCAGAACGGCCCGTTCTAGAACACCAACTTCATGCATACGTTGACCAAAATGTCGCAGTGTGATTCAAAAATTGAAAATAAAAATTCATAACATATCATAAATTCAAAGACAGAAACATGGTTCAGAAACTGAAAAAAAAATTCAGGAACATAACATATACTAAAAAAGTTCAAAGAAATTACTGAGAAATGAAATCATCTGGGTAATGCTGAAGGGAAACCCTAAACCACAAAAATTCAGGTTGTAACTCCTCAAGAACAGGTTGTTATTGTTGGGGTACATCGTCAATGACTTCAAGGGGAAACACTGTTTCATTTCATCCTTGACTGTATAGTGTCAATTTAGTAGTAAATGGTTCACTCCAGTTTGATTAACAATTAAATAAAACATGCTACCATTGTCCTTAGTGATACACTGCATCGTCCTTAATGATACACTGTATAGTCCAAATGTTTAGCAATTGAAGTTATCAATCCCCATTGACAATATTATTAAATCTAGTGTTTGAAATGCTTTGTACCTTGGGTCTTTTTCCTTGCACGATTTACAACCGTGAACTATAATCATCAACCATCTGGACTAGAATGGCCTATTCTGAAACCACAACGGCCCGTTCTGCTATGTGGCATCCACCTGGCATCCACGTGACCAACAGTAAACTCCGTTTAAATCATTTGGACAGAAGTCCCAAATTGCAATAATTTAAATTATTGGGACCAAATTGAAACCAAAAATTAAAGTGAGACTAAATTGAAAAAAAATATTATAAGGGACCAAATAAGAGTTTTAACCTACATATATATATATATATAGATACACCTCCACCAAGAA